GGCTGGCTTTGAACCGCAATCCTCAGATCTCAGCCTCCTGAGTAGCTAGGATTACAGGCATGAGCCTCAGCGCCAGGCTAAGATGTCATTTTAAATCCATGCAAATATTATGTTTTTTTTTTCCATCAGGAAAGTAAAAATGATTTCTGCCTATTCCCAACCAGCTCTGCTGGCCATTGGAGAGTTGTCAATACTTTCTTTGCTAATCAGGATGAGTGGGTTACCCAATTATCAAAAGCGAATGAGAACACACTGGCTATTAAAGTCCTACAAACAATATAGGAAAGGTCTTTTCTGGGAACTCACTATGCTGGAGGGTGATAATACTTCAGAATCTGGAGCTGAGGCTAGATGTTTCAAGTATAGAAGGTTTGGGACAACAAAGAAAGGAAAGGTAGATTGTCTGATCGGTGAAAATTAGAACTTGATTTTAGGTACAGGATTGGAGAAACCAGAAAGTTAAAGAGAGTACTTTCCTGGCAGTGGTGCGATCCCTGGAACTGTGTAGCTATAAATGGCTTTGCAGAGAACAGTAACCCTCTGAGGGAACAGTTCTGACACTGTACCACAACAGGAGGGCTGGCATTGGTCTTCAGTTTCACAACAAAGGGAGTCCTTTGTTCTAGTCTTCCCATACCTGAGGCTTTTTGGTAAAAGAGGAGCTTGTTTTCCCTTCTTCCCTAGCTATCTTAATCCTAGAAGCCTTTAGGGTAGGAGAGTAAACTAATTTGGTGTGTGCTATGTTAAAGAAGGTGGTAATGGTATCTTCTCTCTAATCTGATGAGGGTGAGTAGTAGCAAAGACCATTCTAAGTCAGCTTTGTCTGCAATGCTATAATATCAGGCTAATTCTGAGCTAGATTGGAGGAGGCCTCTAAGTAAATACAACCCTGGATTGAAACTTCCCAAGGGGCATCTCCTAGAAAAGCTGTGGTCCAGGAAAGTTTCAGGCTCATTAAACACTCCTGGCCACAGTCTTCCTCTATGCCTGTGCTTCTCATCAGGGAAGGTAAAGACCACCACTGGACAGTCAAGAAGAAATACCATTGGGAAAGGCCTGACCGACTAAATACTGCCTCTCACAACTGTTGACTGAGCTAAAATGGCTTTGAGAAAGACTAGAAGCTTTTTAAGGGAGGCTACTTTTCTTGAATTTGCCTATGAAGAATTTGGTATAAAAAAATCTCTCACATCAGGGCTGGGAATGTGTCTTAGTGGTAGAATACTTGCCTAGCATACATGAGGCCCTGGGTTTGATTGACTCCTCAGTATAATATAAACAGAAAAACTGGAAGTGGCACTGTGGATCAAGTGGTAGAGTGCTAGGCTTGAGCAAAAGAAGCTCAGGGACAGTGCCCAGGACCTGAGTTCAAGCCCCACGACTGGTAAAAAAGAAAAACAAAAAAGTACATTGGCTATATGACTATATTTATTACTTTGTACCCTTCTTTGTCACCTCTCTCCAAATGTTTCCATTCTTTTTTGTATGAAAGCTCTTCAAGTATTTTAGGACTTCCAATATTATTCATGCTAAATCCCTTTTCTGAAGTGTCAAAACTTCTAGTTTTTTTCACTCTCCTGGGTTAATAGGTTGATCCTCTTTGAAATAAATTTAAGAATATCCTTTTTTTTTTTCAGTCCTAGGGCTTGAACTCAGGGCCCGGGCACTGTCCTGAACTTCTTTTGCTGAAGGGCTAGTGTTCTACTACTTGAGCCACAGTACCACTTTCAGCTTTTTCTGAGAAGTTTTTTGGAGATAAGAGGCTCGTGGACTTTCCTGCCTGGGCTGGCTTAGAACTGTGATCCTCAGTCTTAGCCTCTTGAGTAGCTAGGATTACAGGTGTGAGCCACTAGAGGCCTGGCAGGAACATCCTTCTTTAGTAGTCTGAATAGTACTTAAAAGCCGTCTGAAGGCAAGCACCACATATATTGAACCAAACAGAAGAAATTCAACTAATATTTGTAGGCTGGCTGAGCAAAAATAGGGCAGGTAAAAAGTCTGATCAGGTCAGAATAAAAGAAGGTTTGACAACCCATCTGACTAGAATGAAGGAGGATTATCTGGTTCTACAGAACAGACTCCAAGATTTTGGGTTTAAACCAATTAAGCAAATTATCCCAGGGCATAATAAAAATGGGCTAGGTCTATGTTTAAATTTGTACAGTTTCTTTTAAATAAGTTTTTTATTGTGAAAATACTGTACAGAGGGATTATAATTACATGAGCAAGGTAATGAATACATTTCTTATCAAGCATTGTTGCCTCCTCCTTTGTTTCTCCCCTATCATCCCTTCCCTCCTGTCTCCACAACTACATTTCCCCCTCCCCACTTCTTGTTTTTTGTTTTTTTTTTGGGTCCGGTCGTGGGGATTGAACTCTGGGCCTGGGCACTGTCCCTCAGCTCTTCAGCTCAAGGCTAGCGCTCTACCACTGGAGCCACAGCACCACTTCCGTCTTTTTTCTTTTTGCTTATGTGGTGCTGAGGAATCAAACCAACGGCCTCATGCATGCAAGGCAAGCGCTCTACCACTGAGCCACCTTCCCAGCCCCCCCTTCTTGTTTTTTAAAAAAACAAAATCCTCAAAAGTTTGACAGTGTCTAAAAATAAAAGTACTTATTAACTTACTTATGAAATGGTAATCCCTTTGTACAACACCTTCATAATAACAATAAAATTATATTTAAAAAAATCCCAAAGTCCCACTTCTTGCCTTTTTCTCATCCTCATCTGTAGCTTTCTTGAACTCATGTTCAAAGGAGCTCGCTAGTTCATTGAAGAGTCCCACCTCCTCACAGTTCTTCAGGAATCTAGTGGGAGTAGGAGTCTGATCTGCAGACATGAGAAGAAAAGGATATGCTGTAGTTTTGACCTCAGATTAAACTTTGAGAGTATGCAGAGAACGCATTTTTACTTTTTACTCTGGAGTTAGTTTGTACTATGGCAAATTGGCTTTTATGGAGCTATAGTAGGCAAAGGATGGTGGTAGGCCACCAGAGGGTGTCTGCGCTGTGTTGCTTCCAGGCCAGCAGGGGGAAGACAGGACAAGGTTTTTGTTGTGTGACAATCCACATACCCACCTTTCTCTTAGTGCTGGTTTTACCTCCTTCAACCCTCAAAGAAAACACAGTAAAATAAAATAAAACCACGATGCAAGTGAAGTTTTGTGAAATCTCTAGGTTTGAAAAATCAAGTATAAAGTACAGTTAGGTGTTAAGTCTCCTTCCTTCCTTCTTTCCTTCCCTTTCTTCCTTTTTCATTCTTCTCAGAAGTGTCAACCAAGCTAAAAAGGTATGAGAAAAGCTTGAAGCTTGTTTTCTTCTCTCTCTCTCTCTCTCATTTTTGCAAGTCTGGGGCTTGAACTCAGGGCCTGAGCACTGTCCCTGAGCAAAAGATCTTTTGCTCAAGGCTAGAACTCTACCACTTGAGCCACAGTACCACTTCTGACCTTTTGTGTGGGTACTGAGGAATCCAACCCAGAGTTCTAGGTATGCTAGGCAAGCACTCTACCACTAAGCCACCTTGCTAGCCTAACCTGTCTTTCTCTGTTTTGGTGGTACTGGGCTTTGTAATTTAAGGCCTCACAATTGCTAGGCAAGGTGCTCTACCACTTGAACCACACCAACAGCTGGTTTTTACTTTCATGGCCCTAGATTGAAACCATCCTTTTTTTTTTTTTTGGTCGCTCATGGGGCTTGTCCTTGTCCTCTTCAGCTCAAGGCTAGCACTCTACCGCTTCAGCCACAGCGCCACTTCTGGTTTTCTAGTGGTTTATTGGAGATAAGAGTCTCATGGACTTTCCTGCCCAGGCTGGCTTTGAACCTCGATCCTCAGATCTCAGCCTCCTGAGTAGCTAGGATTATAGTCGTGAACCATCAGCACCCAGCTTGAAACCATCTTATTTATGCCTCCCATTGTAGCTAGGATCACAGTCACAAGACATTATGCCCAGTTTTTTAACAGGTTGAGACAGGATTTCACAAACTTTTTGTGTAGGTTTGGTCTTGAACTGTGATCCTTCTGATCTCTACCTCCTGAGTATCTAAGATTATAAGAATAAGCCACTGTACTTGGCACATTTGGTGTATGTGCCAAAGAGAGAGAGAGAGAAAGAGACAGAGAGACAGACAGACAGACAGTGTGTGTGTGTGTGTGTGTGTGTACGTACCAGAACTCAGGGCCAGGGTGGTTTACTACTTGAACCACAGCCACATCTGTCTTTTTGCTGGTTTAATTGGAGATAAGAGTCTCACAGACTTTCCTGTCCAGGCTAGCTTCAAATCTTCATCCTTAGAACTCAGCTTCTTGAGTAGCTAGTAGTATAGTAGCTAATGTTTTCTTTTTTTCTTTTTGGTCGGTCGTTAGGCTTGAACTCTGGGCCTGGGCACTAACCCTCGGCTCGTCAGCTCAAGGCAAGTGATCTACCACTTGAACCACAGTGCTACTTCCAGTTTTCTGAGTGGTTTATTGGAGCTAGGAGTCTCATGGAGTTTCCTGCCCCGGCTGGCTTTGAACCACTATCCTTAGATCTCAGCCTCCTGAGTAGCTAGGATTACAGGCGTGAGCCACCAATGCCCGGCAATGTTTTCTTTTGGAACTTACTCCATGTTAGTTCTGAAGCCAGTACAGGTATAGTATAAGCAGATGGATGTTAAAAACTGATGGGAGAGGAGGAACTGAGAATTAGATGGTCTAGTTTGCTTGCTATAGCAACCAAATTTAAAGTGATGCCTGAGCAGGGTTGCTGGTGGCTCACGCACACATGTTACTCAGAAAGATGCAGTCTGAGGATCCAGGTTGAAGCCAATCAGGCAGCAAAGTATGACTCTTTTTTTTTTTTTTTGGTGGGTCGTGGGGCCTGAATTCTGGGCCTGAGCACTGTCCCCTGAGCTCTTCAGCTCAAGGCTAGTTCTACCATAAGCCACAGTGCCACTTCAAGCTTTTTCTGCTTATGTGGTACTGAGGAATTGAACCCTGAGCCTTATGCATGCAAGGCAAGCACTCCACCACTAAGCCACCTTCCCAGCCCAAAGTCTGACTCTTTATCTCTAATTAACCAGTAAAAAATCTAGACTTAATGTTTGGCTCAGTGGTAAAGTACCAGCTGATAGAAGAAAGTGGGAATAGTAAAAAATGTGGTGCCTGTCTTTCAATAGCCACTGAGGTGTAGGTGTGATACTTCTAAAGGCTTCCAGGCAAATCTAGAGGCCAGAGAACCAAGAGAGCAATATCTTGAACTAGAAAAGGAAATTGAAAACAATAGTGCTCACTGCAAGAGGACCTGCCCAAAGCAAATTCCGGAAACCAGGATATTTGCATTTAGACTTCCAGGCCAAAGTATCCCTACAGGGCCGGTGCAAACAGTGCCTCAGTTCTTAAGAAGATGGAGGCTCTTGATAATCCGTGAGAACTATATATGCAGCATAGTTTTCAGGTTTGGACTTTATTCCCTACCTTGCTTTTCTAAAGTTGAATCCTGTTCCTTGATCTCTTTTCTGATGATTTTCCTTGA